AGATACTATAATAAACCATCAGTGTAAAATAAAAATTGTCTATAACAAGTTTAAAAATGAGAAAAAAAAAATGTGCAAGATAATGGCATGTGGCATGGCAGATGATGTCTGCCAGACAAATTCTGACCAAAAAACATAAGTTGAAATTATTATTTTTTTAAATGGGTTTGATTCCATGACCTTGTTCAAAATCTATAGAAAATATTGTTCTTTAATGGTGTTTATGGATTATGTTCTTTATTTCTAATATGTTTATCATTTCCGTATTTAATGTTAATTCTTTTTTTAATACTGATTAACTTACATAATCGTACTTATTTTCCAGATTAAACTACTTGAAAATACAAGCAAATTGTTAAAAATACTTTCTTGTCAATTATTATATCATTTCCTGTTTTTTTTTTTTTCTTTTAACTGCCCTTGCATTAATCACGATTTTGGAGCTAGTCATGGATGTTATTTTTAGTATTACCCTGGTTAATCGAAAGATGACAGTACATACAAACAAAAATACAGAAACAAACTTACTTCTTTATCTCTAACATGTCTCACAGTGAAATCATGCACACAGTCTCGAAAACATCTTTCTGAAAGTTTATTATAGGATATCAGAAATTCTTTAAACTAGAAAATGGAAAAAGAAATTAAAAAATAATTTTAAAAAATCATTACAGCATAATAAATCAAAAAGATGATTATAACTGCAGGTCAAATATCATATTTCCATGCAAATTTTTCCTTCTAGCTTTTTAGTGCCAGGTTCTAAAAGTTAAAAAAATATTCGTACAATTTACCCTTTCATCAATGCATTTAAAGAATGAGCTTCCCTAAATTTTAAGTGCATGCAGTGATTCTTTTTGTCTCACTAATAAAGACGAACCCTCACAATCAATCTGCAAATGTCCCACCAAACTTTTCCCTCCTAACCGTTGAACTTTATGCTAGCCTAATACAAGAGCAGACCCATGACAGCAAAGCAAACATGAACTAGCATACAGACTACGATTTTGCACACTCTGTTGGTCATTCATCTTTTTAAATTATTTATCGAAGATTTTAGGTCTAAGGAAGAGCAAAGAGAAAAATTAGAACAAGCGAGATTCAAAATACAGGAAAATAGAAATGAAGATATGTTATTAAATACTGTAATGTTAATATTACTATGTATTTTTATTGAAGTGTAGGTTTCTTTTTAAAGATATAATATTGCAATGGTTACTCACAGTTTATCCATGGCTATATTTCATTTGTTACATTCTATCTGTAACCATGTTCTTTGGAAATAAAATTATCTGCATTCCACTCTCAATTTTTAGATGCAAAAATTAGTAAAAAAGGGTAAAATATGTGAGGAAATAAGGTATGTATTGACAGCTTGAATTTATTCTTGTTGTTGATGCAATGAGGGCAGTAGTTGTATTAGTACATCATAGTGGCCAGCGACATGAGATGTATATAACAGTAGAAATATTAGGCTTTCAGATCTTTGTGTGACTTTTGAATGGAGTGAAAAGAACATACCTATTTTGTGCCTTGAACATGTTGGATTTTGTACCTACAAAACAGCATTTGTAGGAAGTGCTATTCTTCTATTTTCATCTCAAGAAATCTGCTGCAGAAAGTCATTGTTTGCTACCGTTGCATATGGAGAACATGTTTTGTCAGAAGTAACATGCAGAGATTTGTTTCAATGATTCAAAGACAATGATTTTGAGGTGAGTTACAAATGTATTTTTATCAGCAAAAAAGTTGATGACTGACAGTTAGAGACACTACTGGCAGAAGATTCATTTCAGATACTTATACAGTTATCTGAAACACTAAATGTGGATGCATCAACTGTTAGTAAGCATTTAAAAGCAATGGAGTTGATTAAAGAATTTGGAAACTGGATACCACATGAATTGTCAGAAAAAGATATCACAAAATGCTTAACCATTTTTGAAGTGTTGCTTCAAACACAAAATTTGAGGTAATTCTTGTCTTTGAAGCATTGGCACTGCCAGTTTTAAAAGTGGATTTATTATGACAATCAGAAGTGCAAGAAATCATGAGCTCGTCGAGTTGAACCAACAACTTCAAAACTAGATATTCAAGGCAAAAAGATTATGCTGTGCATTTGATAGGATCAAGTCAGTGTGGTGTACCATGAGCTGCTGCAACTGGGTCAAACAGTGAATACTTAATGCTATGAAGTACAATTACTCAATTTGAATCGCACACTTAAAGAAAAATGCCAACAATATGCTCAGAGACATGACAAAGTTATTCTGCTTCATGAAAATGCCAAACCTCATGTTGCAAACCAAGTGAAGTAAATCTTGAAGGAACTTTGATGGGATTTCTTATCCCATCAGCCATATTCATCAGATATCGCCCCTTCTAATTACCATTTGTTTTGGTCCATGCAGCATGGCTTTTCTGAACAACACTTCACATCTTAACGATCTTGAAAGCACATTCTATGAATGAGTCATCACAAAAGAATCTGAATTTTTTTATCATGGAAGCCATTTGTTACCCAAAAAGTGGGAAAAGATTGTAGCTGTCAAAGGACATTACTTTCAGAAAATTATCTTACATCATTCTATTAAAATAAGAATATGTTTTCTGTCCAACAAACAGTGAAAAGTAATTTAAGCAACCAATATTTAATGTTAAGTATTTTTACAACAAATAAAATTAAAAAGCACACAGAAATCTGAATTATTGAATTTACAATATTTACTTAAAAAAATACATAGAGAAACACAATTAATTAATTGAAATTACATCAAGTAACAGACTTTCTTCAATGTAAAATCTTTTTATTGTTACAATATTAAATATGAGCAACAATATAATCTTACATTTTCTATAACAAACACAACAAATATTACTTTGATTGTGGTAAAGCATTCAATGGAAGAAGAAGAGGAATGTCTTTAAGAGGTTGTTTTTAGGGAAACTGGTTTGATTTAATGCTACACATGGAAGAAACCATGAAAACTCATGCAGCCAGCCCATTCACCAAACTTGAATCTTGGTTGAATCTCCAGTGCTCAGTAGTTTTGTCACTTAAATGCTGAGGGCTATAAGCACAGCATCTGCAATAACTTCATAAGGTCTTATGCTAATTAATACAATCACCATATTAATTTCCTCGTACTTTCATTTTACTCTAGTCAACTCTGATCAAATATGTAAATTAGTTATATACCTGTTCATGAGAATAAAAATACACTTCATGAGAATAAAAATTAGAAGAATTCAGAAGAAATGAAAATGACAAATTTACAGAAACAAATTCATGTATATCTGAATTATATTAAAACATAATCAAAAGCAACTATTAGATAATCCAAGAGGTACCCTAAAATACAGACTAACCAAATATCCTACATTAAAAGAAAAATTTTACATATTAGGCATTTCAAGAAAAATAAAACTCTTTTTTTTCTATATTTCAGACAAAGTAATGCTTAAAAAGGTCAATCAAAATTAAAGGTAAATTTTGATAACTTTTTATTAAATCATATATTTCAACATTTTAGACAAGCTTATCTTAATTTAATTCAATTCAAGAAGGTGCAGCATTTTTAGTTCGGACATCCTTATATACACTGATACTTCTTTATTACGTTTTACAAATGGTCCCTGTTTTGTAAATGGCAGCAAGATTATTAAAAAAAAATCACTAATGCAAACTATCTTCAAATGGTAGCAGACCCAACGATGATCATTTATAGTTTGTTTCTGATGAGAAAAGTTCCAAGTAAACTCTATAGTATTAATGTATTTTCCATTTTTCCCAAAACGTGTTAACAACTGATGACCATTCACTATTCTCTTGCCATGAGAACAGCTCCGAGTATTCCACGTTTCTATGTTGTTTCTTTTTTTTTAATCGTTTAAAATGTTTAATTGACTGAGAATTGAGAAAAATGTTATATGTTTCTTGCAAGAAAAATACGGCTGATCTTTACAATATGGTAACTAGTAGTTTGGCGACATTTTGGAGGCGATAAAGGTTACTACCTGGGACTTTGGTAATAATGTGAGCAGTACTCATTCCGAACTCATTATTTTGTGTGAGGGAAATGAGTCATGTGATATTAATGACGATTACGTCTTTAAATCGGAAAAGGGGGGAAATCGGGAAAAAATCTGGAAATTTATTGCCTTTATTCTGTGTTGTGTGAAACAGTGTTCGTTAATTTTTGACCATGGCCCTACTAAGTGAATCGAAATGGGTATTTATGGGATTGAAAGGCGTAGTAATAAGTGTTCTTTAAGGATTAAGGATGGTGCGAGAAGAAGTATTTTTTATTAATTTTTATTTTAACCTGACCTGGTTTTGTGACTACATATCAAGATTCTGAAGAATAATAGGTAAGTTAGTATTTTAATTATTTGAGGAATATTATTTTATATGCATTTTCTAAATGTAAGGTGGAATAATAATTTGCGTAAACGGCATGAAAATTTTAATATTTGACACTAAGTATTTGTAACCATTTGTAATGAAAGGTATGATTAGTTAGTGACTTTAATATAATAGTAATGTAGAGGTAAAGTTTTGGATATTTTTATTTATTTTATACGGAAATGTTCAATTTGGAAGGTATGTACTTTTCGCGTCAGTAATTTCATTATGTTCTTTTACCGGGTTAAATTCAGAAATGTTTGCATTTTTCGTGAATTTTTCTAATTTATGAGAAAAGTCTGTACATGGATATAGTGAGAGTGGCGCAATGCCATTTTGTATTCTGGGATTTTTTTTAAGTAAAAATAGTCGGCGGTACAGTTATGTGTATGTGTTTATTTTGAAAAACGCGTAAGGAGTATGGTATTGTGCACTTTTCCCATTTTGCAGTAATATTTGTCATGATTAAGCAGTTTTGTTAGATAATTTCTAGCATAAGTGTATTCGGCTATAGATTGTTGGAAGAGTGTTCCGTAGATAAAAAGAAAAACATGTCTTTACTTCGTGAAGACAAAGGTGGCGGGAAAAAAAATAGAGGGTTGCTGTAGGAGAGTTGGTCGCCAAATTTTAGCCAAAAAAATGCCAAGTTACCATAATGTAAAGATCAACCAAAAATACATTTCAGCTTATATTTGAAAATGTAGAAATGGCCAATTAATGAAACTACACACGAGTTAAAGGATTTGGAGGTGTAACAAGAAAGGATGCAAATGAAGAAAAAAACATTTTTGACAGCTAGTTAAATGGTTTCAGAATACTGTTTATAACAGCACAGCCATTTATTTGCTGTTAAGCAGAGGAATTGATGCCGATTAAATGGAAGAAGTAACTGAATCTTTACAAAAATATAACTACTGGCTGGAATAGTTTTATGAAGGAAGTGTATTCTCTACATCTAATTTGACAACCAAATAAGCAAATATGCAGTCCTGAAAAATTGTGGACATACATAAAAATCTGACTGTATGCAGAAAAAACAAAGGCAGGGTTTTTTCACAATACTGGATATTTCACAGGTTATGCTGAGACACAGGTGAATTCTTTCTTACTCGGGTTCGAAACAGTCTGATGGCGAGCATATAAAACAGAGAAACTGAAAAAAGCATGCAAAACATTTTATTGTGAACCACAAATTTCATTTTACTGATCCAATAACAGTTGCTCATACACAAAACATTGCAATGCTATGGCCCTTCACTAACAGAAATCAATGAGGCATTGTTTACCATCATCATGAATCTTATGTTGTGGATTAATCCATGGCAAAAGTTCTTGGAATAAGAAAGTGTTTCTGATGCCATATTACAAGCAATTGCAGAAACATGGCAGCCATAAAATGTATGTGAGTAGTAAACATAAACTTTATTATGCCAATAATCCTGGGCTGTAACAATAAGGAAGTACCAGTTCCTGAAGTCATCCATAAATATTTTTAATAACTCCATATTTGTTAGTTTTTCCTTAAAAAGATTAAAAACACCAATTTTTTATATGTACATTAAACTTGCATAATTAATTACTTAGCATTATCAGAAACAATTTCAAAATCACATATTTTTACCTGCTGGATTTGCTCTGCTTCGGAGACTTGTTCATCGGTGCCAGACATTGAAACTTGACAGTTTTTACCTATAATTTAAAATAAAATTTTTTATAAGCTGAATTTTTCGGTACTTTTCTTACTTTAACTTCTTCTTGACCAATTTTTAATAATAAAATAGACATCTTCATGCTATTTACATTTAGAGATAACCCAAATGTTACTCTACTGGTTATTAATATCAATTTTCATTAGGAAATGCAAGTTTTTTAAAATAAAACTTATATTAATTTATAATGCTCATTTGTTTTGCAACAAAAATCACTCAAAATATCCCAATATGGTTCAATAAATAAAATTTCATCAATTTCTACAATTATTTCCCCACTTATTTTATAATTTTCTTTCTTATTTAGCAGAATACAAACAACTTTACATAAATAATTACATGGATCAACAATAATTTCTTATATCATACTACTTTCACAGCATTTGATAGACACCATTTCAAAACATCAACTATAAAATAACCATAACAGTTATTGAGAATATTTGGTACTTTTCGAATGTCTAGACCCCTATTTCAAAAAGTAGTCGACATATTTTTTGTCATGCTAATACACAAAACACTTCCACTTTCCATCTGCCACATGTGTGTGCATCCTTGGATTGTGCCATAAATATATTCTGGTGATGTCATGCATTGTTGCATAACTACTTTGCTTGCTATTCATACAAAAGGCAACACAAAACACTTCGATTTTCCATCTGCCACATGTGTGTGCATCCTTGGATTGCGCCATAAATATATTCTGGTGATGTCATGCATTGTCGCATAACTACTTTGCTTGCTATTCACATTGTTTAATAAATACCGTAATTTCCGGAAGAAAGGCCGC